CAGTAACTTGGATAGATCCCTAATGTGTCGAACTGCTTCCTCGATGCTATCAAAGGATCCCAGGAAGTCGTCCACGGAAAAATTATGTTCAACACACGAGCCCACCGGGGTTTCGAAATGCTGAGCAAATCGATTCACGGTCGTTTTTAACGCGAAGTTTGCACAGAAGGGAGAAGATATCGCGCCAAACGGGTGCACCGTCATCCGATACTCTTGGGAAGGTCCGTCTAGGTCTCCATCCAGCCACCACCACAACCGTAGAGCGTCCCTTTGCCCTTCTGAGACTTTNCTGACCCCAGACGGAATCTGCACAGCACCTCAATCAGCGGAGTAGTCAGGTCTGGGCCTTGTAATAGACGGTCATTTAAGGCAATCCCAGCACACTTGGCAGCACAATCGAAGACAACCCGGATCTTCTGAGGTTTCTTGGGGTTTATGACAGGGTGGTGCGGAAGGTACCACAATGGTTGCTCCTTCTCGATTTCTCCTATTGCGCGTTCGATGAATCCCAACTCTAGATTGCGCTTCAGGGCGTTACAGTAGGCTTCCTTCAACAGCGCGTTCCTCTTCAATCGACCCTTCAGGTAGTTGAGCCTGTGGAGTGCCATTTCTCGATTGTCTGGCAGTCGTTTGGATCCCGTTCGCCAGCGTAACGGCACGTCGAATCGTTTCTGTGACGATAGCCAGGGCTTCTCGGTCCTACCTCGACATAGATACCCAGTCGTCTGCTATGTCCCCGAACTCGTGGTTATAAAGCCGCTCCAGGTCGTCTCCTATGGGGTTACCTGGCCGCGAGATAGAATTGATCGAGGCTGAATAATTACCAGCATTACTGAGCGGCCCGCAGAGTATCCAACCAAACATCGTGCGCACAGCATATGGCTCTCTGCGGTCTCCTATTCTTTGGTCCAGAACCCAATGCGCCTCGGGTACATCACAGTCGATCAATATGTCTACTCGGGTGTCCGGAACATCCTCGAACAGCAGATCGTGGAGGTGAGGCCAGCGCCGCGCTAGCGACCGGATACTTTAGGAGGCTCTCGCTGGTAGTTCGAAGATAGTACATGTCTGATGCACCTCCATCGTATCTTCCCCCGATGTGGGAGCTAACTTCATACTCAGTTGAGAAGCTCGAACTGCTCGTGCCCCATTTACCGTGCTGATTACTAATGAGGTGGTCTGTCCACACAGATTGTGTTCTCGTGCAGAGCTCTCTCACGAGGGTGGTATCCGAACCATTGTCTAGAAAAGCCACGGCTTGCACTATACCATGCGTAGTTTTCACTTGGATTGGTATTATTCCCAAGCGGACCGGCCCACTTGACACCTGTCTGATAGTGCAGACCGATTTTGGTGTATCCCCGCAGTGTTCCTTGGTTCTGTCGACCGGACGATTATTTGTTCGCGGNTCGACTCCTCAATCGTGGTGTAATAAGGGGTGATGCCAAACCCTGCAATTGTCTTGAGCACAGTTGGTTCGGTTTCTACAACGGACTGCTCTGTGAGTATCGCTCAAGCACACAAAGCAGGACCCTGTCATTTTAACTACCGTCCAGCTGTCCATCACCTTCATTGCCAAAAACTCTCGGCAGTCAACAAGCTTGTGGACACCTATGCACACTTTGCACTTAATCGGTCTTTGTGTGTCATATGAGATTAAGTTGGTGCTCGCCCGGTTGTGTGGGTTAGGGGAACCTCGAGATTCAGACGGCGTAAAGTTAGTTGAAGACCTAGCGGTCCTGATGCTTTCCCTTGCCAGTTGACCGAATCGACTATTTGCTATGCGAGATTGGCAACCTATGAATTGGGCGAGTTCGTCAACGGTCGCCTCTCTGTTCCTTTTCTCGATTTGATCGGCCTCGGTCGCCCAGGCTGTTTGCATCTCGGCCGGCAAACATCTGACAATCGATTCCAGCGTGTGAAGTGCATCCAGGTCCGACCGATATTCGAGGTGGTTTAGAGCGATACTGCAGTTTTGCGTCTTGATGACTAAGTTTGATAGAGACCTAGTATCGCCTTGTGTGCGCCTCGCCTCTGCTAGCACCCCGTCAATCACTTTTCGTGCCACTCGGAATGATTGGCCGAAACTTTCCTTCAGTAAATTTCCAGCTCTCGGGTAGCCCACTTCGGGGTCCAGCATTGCACACCCTTGTATAGCCTCTTTGGCCTTCCCGCGACAGTAGTGTAGCAAAACCAGAGACCTTTGCTCAGCATCGTGGGTTTTGCATTCAACGACATTTCGTATTACCGAATGAATTGGCAATACCGTTCGTCATTGCTGTTGAAAGGTGTCAGTTCAACTCTTGGCAAATCGACGTCTACATGGGCATACGTTCTTTTATGAGGGACGAAATCTTTATTCGGAGAGAAGTCACTGTGTTCAGTCTCAGCTCAAGATGATGTTGTGCCGGTGAAATCGGTTTTTTCACGCTTGGCCTGTTCTATCTGCTACCTAGCTAATCTCAACTCATACCCTACTTCAGAAACCCGCAATTTAAGTATATCAATATCCTTAATCTCTGAATCTACATATTAAACAAAACTGAAAGGGTTAACAGATCTAACGTTTTCCAAAGAATGAAAATGACCCACAGTCTCCCCAGTGACTTTCCGGGTTACTTCCTGCCGGGTTCCAGTTTCCTTTGTTCATCGTCTGGGCATCTTCGAAATAGTTTTCTCGTGTGATTCCAATTTGAGTACTGTACGTCAATCAATTCGCACTTGAGTGACGCGTAGCCAAAACCGATACGAATCCCTAGATGAAATACGATTGATCCGTAATGTTCTACGGTACTGAATAAACGAAATCATTACAAATGTACAATAAAGTAAACCTCAAATATGCGGCCAAGAGCACTCAAGCAAGCGAGCCAAATATGATGTCCAGAGAGAGCCAAACAGTCGCTCGCTTTCTCAAACCACGCAAAATCCAAAGGTGCCGGGCATCGAATTAACAGATAAATAATAATAAATGGTGTTTGTGATTGAGAAATGTCAGTATAAGAGCAACACACAGATAGAGTTATGTCACCATAAATCATCATGGGTTTGGAAGGATTTTCAAAAATTCAACGCACAATACGGACACTGCTACCTAGTAAGCATGTGTCAGGGAGTGAAGCCAATTGAGTCGGGAGGGAACACAATCAAATAGATATGAAGAAAGGAATGATGGGTGACATTACTTTTAAAAGTATGTACCAAAGTAGATTGTGGTTCCGGATCATACTTCGATATGAAATTGGTTGAGAAAGTGGACACTGCTGCCTGGTTAACACGTGCCACGGAGTGGAGCCAATTGAGTCTGATGAGATCGGGAGCAGACGGATATGAAATAAAGAATAATGGGTCACAATACTTATAAAAGTATGTACCAAGGTAGAAGGTGTTCAACAGAATCAGCTTCGAAGCGAGTTCCGTATAGTGATGTGAAATTAGTTCACTCAGTGAACGCTGCTAACTTTTTAGCGTGAGCCACGGAGGTGGGCCAGTCGAGTCAGACGAAAAAAGGAGCAGAAGAGCCTTCAGATAACTGGGGTACGATGGATGGGACGGAAGTTGGAAGGGTCATTACGAGGAGCTCTCTTATGTCGAGGGGTAATGACGGAAGTCTTCCATTGAGATGGAAAGGTACCATATTTCAGCGAAAGATTGAAGACGTTCATGAATAAGAGGGCAACGTCGGAACCATCGAGATGTAGCAGCGCCGGTGGGATTCCAATACTGCAGGATTTAAAAACAGGTTTTATTTTCAGAACCTCAGTGATCATGTCGTGTAGAGAAAATTCCATACTGGACAATGTGTGTGAGATTAGGGGGCGATTGGAAATTGATCACTGTCAGAGTGGGTGATCATGGAGGAAGTGAACAACAAATTGAATGTTTCTGCGATACTGGCGGGGGTAACAGCTACGTGCCATTAGGTAGAGTCAGATAGGGATACCGGGTTGGGAAAGGACATTTCTGCTTTTTATCAGACGTGAGATGAGGGAGATTTTGTGAGGGTTATTTACGGTGGTAGGTACTTGTTGTGTGTGAACTCTTTCAGTGGTTGTGCGGACGTCTGCAGAGAG